AAGGGTATATGATGAGAGGCTTGTGTGTTGAAGTTTAGATCAGTCGTTGTAAAACCTATTTCCATGTCTCACCATTATGAAAATAAATTCCTTCAGTGAGCTGAATTAATTTATTGCCATTTTCTAGATTATGCTGCTTGCAGAAAAGATGATATAATAGTTCTACATCTCTCAGTGAATTTGGCTGCTTAGTGAAATTGACTGATAAGGGAAAAAAGCAAATAAGGAAGGAAATAAAAGAAAGAAATCAGGGGTACTATGTTTAAAACAACTATGAACCAAAGGAACCTTATAGATGAAGGGTTGAAAACTAGAATTAACACAAAAAGCTAAAATTAATTGGGACAGAGAGGAGTTTTACATTTGAAAATCTGAAGCTGTTGGAAATTTAGCGTTTGCATCAGAGTTATCTCTGCACTCTGCTGCTGACATCGTTGATGTTGGTAAAATAAAATCTGAACCTCAAGAGCTGACTCAGCTTTATGTGCAGGTATACTGAAAAGAACTATAATATTTAGGTTGCTTTCTAAAGGAAGGCAGATGTCAGTTTTGTAGATGTTCAACCACTTGGGTGGCTTAGTGGTTTTAAGTCCCTGAAGGCCAAAATAATTGCGTAGTGGGTAGAGCAGAGGAACTAGCCCTAGGAGCTGACCAAGCAGTAGCAGTTGGAAGCTGGATTTGGCTTGGTGTGAGCGGGTTCTGCAGGTGTGCGTGGAACTTCTGGTGTTTTGTAACTGTTATGTGGGTTGTTATGGTATAATGAATGTTAATGTGTATGGATTACATAAATTACAGAACAGAATTCTCAAGCATAGCAAGTAAGCCTTTTATAGATATTATAGAGAAGAATTTTGGAGCACGACATTTTAAAATACTAATTGCTTTGAAGCTGTGTGGACTGGCCCGTATGGCTATATCATGTCAATGCTTTAGACCAACACAGCTTAAACTCTTACCATGTTAGACTGAGATGTCTTTTAAGTTTTTCTTTTTTTTTTTTTTTGAACAAGATTCAATCAAAATGTTTCTGTCTTCAATTAATGTGTGACTCTAGAAACATTGATCTCTAGCAAATGTTTCAAGGTCATATTTTCGTGTTTTTTTGTTTTGTTTTTTTTTTTTTTTTTCATATAGAAGCTATGAAGTTATCAGGATAAAACCATGGTGATGTGCAGAAGGAAAAACAACTTTCTATAAATGTGCCTACTCTGTCTCTCTGACGGCACAGGCAAGATAATGTTCTTCAGCCACTGTTGCTTCTTGCAACATTGCTGTCTTACGTGAGAAACGGGAGGGTGAAATGGGCCGAGGAGGCAGGAGATACGGAAACCAACTGGAGTTGGGGGGGGGTTCTGGGCTGATAACTTCTGGGGATGTAAGAAACAGGTATGATGATGCCGGTGCTGAAGAGGGACTTTGAAACCTGAAATGTCTGGGTGGTGCTGAGAGCTAGAATAATATGATGCTCGCGGTCTAGAACATTAATGCTGAAGGAGCCCCTGAGGTTCCAGGTGAGGAGAGCAGTCACAGTGCCATTGATTGCTGAGTAATGCATCCAGAGCTTATCTGTGCAGCAAATGGAGCGTTTATAGATGCGCCCCTGCAGCCGAGGAAAGAGTTCACACACTTTTTAGGACTGAATTGAGCCTTTTCGCTTCTGTTACGCTTTTCTGCATTTGTGTTTAATAAGAAAGCAGACACAAAATGGTAGTTATTATGAAATGTTAAGAATTTTTTTTTATTTTTTTTTTCCCCCTGAAAAGAAGCAGCAAAATAGGGGGTGAAAACTGTTCATAGTGAATGCCAGCCATCGGGTCTCATGCATTTCTGGATCCGGGTCAGCTGCGACGTGGGGCAGGACCACAAATGCAACACAATTTTCAAGTAACAGATAGAAATAAGAGGGGTTGAGTAGGAGATGTGCTGCATTATTAAATGGCTGTGATGGCACTTGGATCAGTTTAATTCCATGCCAGAAAAATATACTTCATTGTGCATATATGCTATTGCTAAACAGGTCAGAATTTGATGTTTTTACCGAGTATTTCTTAGTTAAGGGAAACAAGGATACTTCTCTTAGTTTTGAGTAGGTTTTAAGTTCCTGTGAAAATCACTCTGATTTAATTTTTAGTCTTGGAAAAGGTGTGCTGCTGTTGTTGTTGCTATTATTATTGGCATTATTGAGAGGCCTTAGTAGGCCCAGGGATATCTATTCACAGTTTCATCAGAAGTACAGTCCATAAGCTGCTTTGAGCTTATGTGTAGATAACCTTTTGACTTCATAAAGTTCTAAATGTTGATTTGTATGAAATTTCATTTAGCCACAGATATTTTTTTTTTTCAGTTTTAAGTATACTGACTAAAGTTAGATTTTTTTAAAAAACATATATCATTTAGCTAAATGGAGCTGTAGATAAGGTGGTGCCTTGTTGGCAGGAAGGGCAGTTTTCATTACTTTAATTGTGTGATTTGTCAGGATTTTCAGCTTTTTATAAATGCTGTAGTGTTATATGACAGAATTAAAAGGATTTAGAATAAAAGGAGTTTAAGAGAAAGACTTTGCAACAGGATTTCAATACTTTTTGTATTTGAGGGATTTAGCTAGCTGTTTTTCATTTCAATCATCCTCCTGCATTTTGTTAAACACTGTGTGTGGAGCAGGTGTGTACAACGTCAGTATATTGCACATGCAAATAAACACAATTTTACAAATAAAAATTAATCCACCATAACTTGGAAGATTAAATCCCACCACAGAACTAGAAAGGGCTGCTGACTCCATTAAGCATTGCAGAGAACAACACATGTCGCGTTTTGCAATCTCATGAATGGGACTGCTATTAACCTGATTTAATGCTCTGCAGAGTCCTCAAAATAATGATCCTTTTCTACAGTATTAATATTTACATTCTGAAAGTATATGTTTGAAATAGAAAATGGATTTTTTTAAGAGGAGGGCCTTAGTTATTACAGACTGAAATCAGAAGTTTAAGCACCTTTTGTACAAATTTTGCAAATTTGTATTGTGAGTATTAAAAACTGGTATTCCTTTTGATTTTTGTGCAGTTGTTTCACTGTGCTCCCCACCACCTTTCTTCCTGTTGCTCCCTCTTCCTTGTTGTTAAACTTAGAAATAGACCAGAGAGAAACATGAATTCATGTCTCTAATATATCCTAGTTAAAAAAAAAAAAAACAAGAAAGAAAAGAAAAGAAAAGTGTAGTTAAATACTTAAGGTAGAATCCTGGCCTCACTTAAATCAACGTCAGAACTCCTGGTAGTCAGCATTTCACCCTTAACGCTGAGAGACGAGCTAAGTGAACAGAAACAAATGGAGTTCATCTGTTATTTGTGTTCAAGAAAACAAATTGGTTGCCAGATTCTTAAGAAGACTATATGTTTCATTTATCAATTTACAGGTCAGTACATACAGTACAGGTATGAGTCATGAAAGACCTTGAAATAATAGGAATAAAAGGAAAATGCATTTGGCTGTTTTAGGTTACTTGTAAAGCTATTGTTGATGGTGAAATTATTGATGTGACCCATTTGACTTTATAAATACACAAATGTGTAGGAGGGAAGACTTATCCTTCTGCAGATGAGAGTACTGAACAGTTTTTTGTTACAAATTAATTGCACGTACCTGAGTTATTAATAATTAACAGAGTCTGTTATGTCAAAATGTGTATTGTTAATTGTTGTGCCTTTCTGAATAATTGATTTAGTGCAGTACACCAGTATTTGTGAATTAAGTTTTGAACAGACTGTATCACTAATACTCTTTATAGATCAAAGGGTTTGGCATATAATGAAGGGGGAAAAATAATCCATTACTCACCACACACATGCATACCTATAGATAGGTAATTAAAAATGCAAAGGTTGAAAGAAAATGGAGGGAATCTAGTAGTGTTGTTGTTGTTGGTTGTTTTTCTGTTATTTAGTTTGGGTAGAAACACCCTAGAATTTAGTAAAATTTTGTTCACTAATAGGAGAGAGATTTTTGACTCGATTTCAGTTTTATTTCTGTTTACGTAGCAATAAGGCAAAGTTTTTAAAACATTTAAAACCCCCTGTTAAGAAGTGTGGCGTATTTAACAGTTTGATGGTTCTGGAGTGAAGGTGTGAGTGCCGCCCGGGGAGCGGAACGGCTGGTTTTAATTGCCCGGCTCCGGTGCGGGCGGCGGCAGCGCGCACGGGTCCCAGGGCTGGCAGAACCATCCCGGCCGCTGAATCGGAGCAGAGGACGAGCCCACACCACGCTGCTGCTGGGGCCACGCTGGTGTTATGGCACGAAGCTCACCCAAAAGGCAGTGGGAGGTGGTGTTAGAGTTGTGTTTTCCCTTGGAGCGACCAGCAGGCATAGCCTGAGTCTCGCTGGAAGTTGCTGGGGGTTGCTTTCTTAAAGGCTTAAATTGCTCGATGGTGGAACTTACTGAAGACTGTTTTGAATTTATCTTGTATTTTCTTAGGCACGGGGCATGGGCTGTAAGCGTGGCCATGCTTGGGGGAAACACTGGCAGCCCAGCTTGTCACGTGCTAAAGAGAGTGCCTGCTCTTATGGGGAACACTCTTACACGCTACTTATCCCTCAGCAGAATAAATTGGAAACCAGTGTGTGAGATTCATGCAGAGTTGGTGACAGCCCTATTACAGACAGCTTTTATAAAACAATGAAAAGTGAGCAAGTGTTACTTGTTACAGTTACAGAATCCCAACTGAAATCAATAGAAAATAACTCCAAAACCCTGGCCAGATTTTGCTACTTGTTTTGTTACTCATTGCTGTCTCTTTCAAGAGCAGTTCTTCCAGTGTTTGTGACTCTGCCCGTTATTTGTATTTCTATCACTGATTCTATACAGGCCATGAGTTTTGTATAATATATTCAATTGCCTTCCAATATATCAAGCCCCCACAACATGCTCACCTGTACTTTGAAAGGTAACACAAACAGTACATAGTGATTTGCTTTTCTTTTTTTGCTTTCCTTTTCATTAGGTGCTCAGAAATGTGATAATTTTTCTGAGAAGCGGCCTCTTCTTGGTGTGTGCAAAAGCATTGGATCTTCTGGGTAAGAATATTTTTCATGAATAAAGTTTTCTATGTAGATTATGTTATCATCTAAAAAAACTCCAGTAGATTACATCTTTAAATCTCGCTTTCTTTTTTGCTAATGGGATGACACTGTGAAGTGCTTCTAAAGTTTTTTTCAGTGTGTCAACACATATTTGCCTATGTTTTAAGCTTTTTAGAAAGAATAAAAAATAGAGACTCTTGATGTAAAATAGATGAAGAGGTATTTTGAGTTTAGTTTGTGCTCAGCGCAATCACAATTTTCTGATTAGCCTTTTCTGATACTAATCTTGGTCAGAATTGTAGTTGAGAAGTATCTAAAGTGGTATCTGTGTCTTAAAACGTAATTGAAAGATGCTTTCAAGCAGCAGTCATATACCAAATAAATTACAAGCATCAAGTAATGTCAGTGTTACAGCCACTCACTGTTTGCTAGCAAAATACATGTTAAATCTACTTCTTTGAGTTAGAAAAATAAGTTAACAGTCATGTCTTGTGCTCTCTGAGCAGTATTGTTGTATCACTCCTCTTATAAAAGGGCCTTAAGGTATTTTATGTCTGTTTGATATGTTGATTCTTACAATGCAAAGGATTCATATCTGTACCTAGAGGAAAATATTTGCTTTTCAAGCGTAATCTTCTACACAGTGATTCAAAGGCTAAACAGTCAAAGTAAATCTTCTTACAGTAGTAAGACTAATTCTGTGCCACACCCTTTTCAATTAGGAATTTAATCGCTCTGGGTGTGGAGGAAAATATCAAGTCTCTGTACATTTCTCTGTATGTATTATTACTGTGTTAAACTGGAATATTAATGTTACCTGTCTCAATTGTTTAAAAAAAAACATGTAGGGTAGAGAAGTGAAATGTCTTGCTATTGATGTGTTTACAACTTGCAAAACTGTTTATAGTGCCTTTTCTCCTTCCCCCTCCTGTAAGTGTGTGTAATCTCGTGAATAACTCTTTCCAAATAAGAGCGCATGTAACTGGTGAGGCAAATACTGCCCTTGCAGGAATTTCTGCCTTAATCCAAACAGTGTATTTATATACGTAGAGGAGATGTTGGATGGAAAAAACTTTCCTTCATGTCTTTGCTTTAGAAGCTGAAATATCTGAGAAATGAACAAACTAAAAGTATTGTTATTTTGACTGTTACTGTATTCTGCCATTTATGGGAAATACCTCAAAGACTAGTGGTAGTTTCTGGTTTTGTACAAAAAAAGAAACTCGTATGTTTTCAAAATGAAAGGGTAGGTTTGTATTACTGTTTATCAGTAGTTAAATATCTGCAAATAGAAGATTTTCAAATCAGGCTTTCCACTGTGACCAGAAGACTGGCACATCATTAAAAGAAGGATACTGTTCTAGAAGGCTCTTGTTTGCCCATTTAATAAAGAACCAGTTTGCTCATGGTAGTAAACCTTCAACAGAAAATTCTTAAACACTTTTCTGCATAAATTATTCATTGCAAGATGTTTTTGAAAGAGTCCTTGCAAATTACCTATTTTGTCAATAGCTTTCAGATCAAGAGTTCTTTGACTGTTTGCCCTCATCTGGAGTCACACTCCTTTTAAATTGGCCCAAGTGTCACACCTGTTTTTTCTTCTGTTACATTCACAGATCGTTTGATTACATTTTAATCATGATTATTATGCATAAAGAAGAATTTGTGTAGAACATTAAAATAGCTGTGTTACAGATGGCTTCTGAACCTGAAACACAATTTTAGTTCTGTTTGTGCTTAACATTATTTCCTGTCTATCTTAATGGTTGTGGACAGATAAAACACCTTGTTTAATCATATATCTGAAGAAAATACTTCATTTATTCTAAAGCATTTATTCCAAAGCACTTGATTTTCACTACAGCCATCTCCTCACCTACTTTGGAGATTATGCTGACTATGGCATGAAATACTGCAGCTGTCAGCACACTAATGAAAATGTGCAGGGAATAGGAGGCCTATTCTGTCTACTGAAATGGCAGGTAAAATAATCAGTGAAATGATGTAGCACTGACACTAAAATATTTCCCATTGAACAGAAAGGTAAACGGAGTGTCCGAAAGACTGAATGAATGATTTTCTGAAAGGCAACTAGTCCAAGGCAGATCCAGAAGTGAAATTCAAGTCTTCCAACACACAATCCGTTACACTGATAAATTAAACCACACTGTCTTTAATATAAACTGAATGAGACTGGACATGGTAAGGACCTACGGTCATAATCCTTGCAAGATGTAGTCTCAAAAGACACCAGTTCCACCAGTGCAGCTCCCCTGCCCTTATCCCCATCCTCACAAGGACAGCAGGTTGTCACTTTTTTAGAGGAGAAATGTGTAACCCCACGAAGTGCTTCTGCTACTTCCAACACTCCTCTGGCTTTCTCCTATTCAAATTTTACCCAGGTTATTGGCTAAAGTCTGTCAGAATTGTTTACTAAGGAGAATGATTTTTTGGGGAGGGGAAAGTTTGGCTTCATCAGCCTTGATCATCATTTGGATTTTCCCTAGCAATTCTTCAAAAGTCCTGACTTCTGGTTGCTCTGCTCAAGTTGCTACTCTGTTACTGGAACATCTCTGGTAATTTTGACGTTCCTAATTAAGTTTTTGTTGTTATCTGTTATTAATAAATAAAGGGCATAGTTAATGTATTGGAAGATTTGGTGGCTGCCACCACGGCTTATTGTTGAAGAGTATTTTTGGACCCTGCTGTATCTAGAAGCAAAACTCTAATTTAAATTCTTTCCCCTGGCAATCATTTATATAGAATCCATTTTCAGTAGCTCTTCTAGAAAGTGCTTTGAAGTTGTTAATTTTTTGTATGGAAGGTGAAGAATAAATGCATCTGACACCTGACTTATGGTAAAACTTTAGTAGGTTATTAACTCTTTGTTACAATTTAGGAGATGCTGTAAATTATCACATGCTATTCCTGACCGTAAGATAATATATGTGTTGAAGAACTATTAATGCTGTGCATACACAGTTCTGTATGATAGATGAGTGGTTGTACTTACAAATGTGTTGGTATATTTTGTGATTTTTATGAACTCATGTACCTATATTCAAATGCATAAAGGTTTCTGAGAAAGATTTCTGAGCGGGTATGAAGATTACATAAGTAAGTTTGAAGTGTTAAAGATGCTAAGTCATTAGATTAATACAAACTGATGGAATATAGTTTTTATCTAGCTCCGCTGCACTGTCATTTAATAATATTTTATCTTTTAGGACTGTATCATTGAGATATTGACACGTTCAAGTTAGGAGCTAGGATTTCCTGGTTCTGACCACTAGTCTGCATTAGTGGTTACCATCAGGAAATTCTTCTCTTTTCCTTTAGCTGTAAAGTAAATACAATATAATGAGGGAAATATGATAAAAAGGTATTCTTTTTAAATGTAGAACATTTGTCAATCTGGAATCCAAATAATTTTCAAGTCATCATGAATTAATAACTTCAAAATATCACTTATGTTAAATAACTTCAGTATTTTTCTCTGTCCCTCTAATGTACTGTGTTCTTTAATGGAAGGAAATTAATGAGTAATTTTATCTGTGATAATATGCTAGGACTTACTTCTTTCATGATGAAACAAAGATGAGTATAAAAGTACTTTATGCAAAATAATGTTTGCCTAAAATCAATGTTTAGATTTATGTTTCAATCCTGAATTTGTTTTCATTGTCATTTACACAGTGAAAGATTCCTTTGGTGACTTAGAAATACAGTCGCTAAACCTGGAGTTCCCCTAATGTTTTACTGAATTGCAGAATTTTGACAGGTCTAAAAATATCTTGCTAATTTTTACTATGCGTCCCACAGATATAACACTGTATTAACTTAGAAATCAACTTCTGGGTAACTTAGCGTTTGGGTTGCATTTCTTTTGTATTGTAACTTAATACAATAGTCATCGATATATGCTGATAAAGCTTACATTCTTTTGAATATCAGTATTAAAGCCTTAACATTCAGTTTAATATTTCTTAATTTTAAAACTTAATGTCTTTGTGAAGTCATGGTTGAGAACCTGCTTTAAAAAAAAATATTTTAGCATACATAAAATTTTAAAATTTTCACTTTGAAATTAATTTCCTGCTTTACGTAAAAATTCTGTAGAGAGCGATTTGCCGCTAATCCAAATTCTTGTATTCCCCACAATGAGTATTTTACCAGGGAAGATGAAATTTGTGTTTTCTAAACTTTCGCCTTATATCTGAGTTTCTGACTGGCTTTTGGTACACACATTTTAGGTTTCTTTTTAAAAGTCAAATTTTCCATCCAGTAAAATGACTGAAATGTCTAGCATGGTTTCACTAGATAATCCTTTCAAAACAATAGTTTTCGCAGCCCCCAAAAGGATGCAGTTTTGACACATAAATGGGAAACAGATTGTGTTTTTTGGCTGATGCTACTATGCTGGTTTAGATGTTGGTTCAGTCAACTTCAGTCTTGGATTACAAGACTTGCAAATGAAAGGAAAACCAAAAAGGAAAGAACATCTGCATAAATTTTGTTTCTATGGAGTTTTGTAGAGGCATGCTTACTTTGTTCTTGGTGATAAGATAAACAAATCTTTATACACACACAAAATGAACTGATGGGCTTTGGTACGTATTAATGAATTTTCTAGGTGGCGAAACATCAAGATTAGTAATCTGTAAATCGGAATGAGAATTGCCCCCTCTCCCAAAAGAAGTAGTATTGGTGGCCAAAAAATTGCATGGCAGAACCAGTGAGTGTGTGCTGTTTGGAGCTACACAGTTTAAAGATTACTAGATAAGACCAATTACATGAAACGGAAATACATTCCTGTTTTCCCCATATGCATCACTGAAGCTGTAGTTTGGACCATACTGGATCTGTAGAACACCTTCAAAAACACCACAGAGGTCAAAATACATTAGATGTCCTTTTTGTTCTGTTCAAATGTAAACGTACCAATATCTTTAAGCAAATGCTTTTTTTTTAACTAATGGAGAAGTCCAAGGGGA